CTTAGTTTTAATATCAAATAGGACCGCATAAATAACTGATTATACTTGGTGAGTGACGTTAAGTTAATTTTAACGGGTGCGTGGCCGTGCCACGTCCCAACTTTTTAATCAGCAAGAGCGAAAAGAAGTTTTATGGCAAGTGACCCAAGTAGTCAGAAAAGAAATTTTATCTAGGACACTCCTCATGGTGCAAATTTTGTGAAAATGTTGGAAGGCAGTGAGATGTAGTACGATGCCGTTTGTGACACGTAGTGAGTTGAGATGGAGTAGATAAATTTCATTTTCTTATGCGATTTGTAAGATTGATTATAGAGAACTGGAACACTACTTGACGATAACCCTGTGTTATGCGATCAATAGGGACATTGATGGGGACTTGTCCGGGGATTATGTGCCATTCTGCCAGATTGGCACAGCGCAACCTTCCGGCGGGACAGAAAAAGACGACTAAAGGCCTTAGTAACAAAAAAGTGCTGCGAAGGAGGGTCGAAAAATTCCGGAAGTTTAAATTTTTTAAATTTCGATTGACGGGCAAGTATTTCTCAGAAAAACAAAATGACGGCCATTTTGACGAAAGGAACGAAAAAACAGAACAACGACAAATATAATGAAAAACAGTCGCACAAGAAAACGAGAAAAACGAAGCCTCTTATCGTGGCAATCACACACGATAAGACCGATAGCAGAGAGAAACAATGAGAAAGGAGGCTTCAGTGGGGAAGGAATATTCCGCGGAACCCTCCCGTGCCCCAAATTGGGAGAGATAACAACGTTAACTCGAGAAGAACACGGGAGCGGAGACTTGGTCCCCCAGAGACTGTTATATGGTGAAAGACTGTAGTAAACTAACTTTTTAGCTACTCTGATGCCATAGAACTTTTAATTGACACCGGTATTGATTGATATTTTAGAATATGAGTAGCTAGGAAGAGGAAAGGGTCAATCCATCTCCAATGGATTTAGTATATAAATGTCAATAATAACATAGTAAAATATGATATTCGAGCCTCGTTTTTGATTGCAATCACGTCGTCTGGGGATCCGAGACTCAGCTATATGGTTGTTCGCATGTAAACGAAAGCTGATCAAAAGTCGTTTGACTGATGGCCTAAAAATAGTAACTTTTTACTTAGCCCTAAAACAGACCAGAAAATCAACTGGCAAGGTCGAGACGGTGAAAAACGAGTAGAATTAAAGTAACTGACGCCTGCCAGTCGTTAATAGGTACTTTTTCTACGCTCCGTCGCTGTGTAGTATTTGGGCGAATGTTACACTATTCAATTTTCGCAATATGTTGTTTAAATAGTCTCAAGTTTATAATCTATGAGAAGTTTGAGCAGCGGATTTGGAGAATCATATTTTTTCTCCCGCGTAAGAGGTTTTTCTCCCCCGAAATTGTAGGAATTTAGTAGCACTTGGGTGGTTTACCTTCAAAGAAAATAATGCAATTTAAAACGCGAGATCAATACGGACTAACATACGTTTCTTTAAAGCCGGACAACTTTTTCTTCGAACCGACAGTGAAGATGTTTTTAGCGCCCTTCAATTGAAGCATCAATACCAAAATTTTACTTCAGGGACAGTTCAGCGTAGTTGTGGATAAACCTCGACAAATTCCCAAGTGTGGAAAATGAACTGAAACATGTTTTTAAATAGTCTATCAACTTTTCACTCTGTCAAACTTTTTTTCAACATGACCGCTCGGTAATTGTTTTTGAATTCTTAAGAGTAATGATTGTAGTGAAGACTCTTCTATAGGTCTTGGTGATTTTTTTTCAGGAAGTCTTAAAATGCTCTAATAACTCTAGATGTGCATTCATGCATATTAATGCATCTATGACTTCTTCAAGGTATATATGCTTTTTTGAGTTCAATTGAAATTCGCATGGTGAAATTAACGTAAATAGCACTCCAAATGTGAGCATGGAAATGGTGCAAAAAACGTGAAAGATGACTAGTTTCGAAAGTGGAATTTAATTTTTAGATTTCCAGTGGAATAAAATTTTACCGGTTGATCCAATTTTTTTCAGGTTGGGTTAATGTTATCAAAAAAGCGCCAATCATAAATCGTTCTTGAAATTCAAAGAGTTTAAAGGGCATCTGTTTTTTCTTCGAAATTCCAAAGTTGAGACATTTTCAAGAAAATCGGTGTAATATACCGTTTCTGGCTATTATCGATTAGTTGTTTGAGTATTGGTTTTGTATTCCAGAGTTATGAAGTATGAAGTATGTTTGTTGGATGTGCGGTCTAGGCTTAATATCTTCAACTCAGGGATGTGCTCCGTGATGGCTACCCCCTTCTCTGGTGTCTCAGCTGATCGATAAATAAAAGTGAGTATTAATGTTTCAATTACTATTTCGAGCTCTCTGATTGTAATGGCTCTCCAATTCTTACTGATCTCATGATCTCCTTATTGTTTACATTAAGTAAATATTGATTTAATACTTTGTCATTGACATACTATGGCATTGAAGTTTAATCTAAATCGAACCAATTATGGTAATTAATAATTAGCAACTCACATAGGTGTGAAGCACTATGTTACAATCGGTGTTTTGTTTGTTTACTTGCGTTCATTACTCTTTTCCAACTGTCGTTTGGCTACGTTCAATAATTACCGTTAATTCTTTCGGTTACCTAATTGTTTTTCAGATAGTTGATATTGATTGATCAAAATGGTGAATTTCACGGTTGACCAGATCCGTGCGATCATGGACAAAAAATGGAACATCCGTAATATGTCCGTTATTGCGCATGTAGACCATGGAAAATCAACACTCACAGATTCCCTCGTGTCGAAGGCTGGAATCATCGCTGGTGCTAAAGCCGGTGAAACAAGGTTTACAGACACTCGAAAAGACGAGCAGGAACGTTGTATCACAATCAAATCAACGGGTATTTCGCTATACTACGAAGTGAATAAGGATGAAATGGGCAACTTCGATGAGAAGCAGAAACCCGATGGAAATGGATTCCTCATCAATCTCATGGACTCACCTGGCCACGTTGACTTCTCATCGGAAGTTACTGCGGCTTTGAGAGTGACGGACGGAGCTTTAGTTGTTGTCGATTGTGTCAGCGGTAATATCCTTTGAATTATGTAGGGTTCACTTTTATTCTATGCAATCTAGATTAAATGGTTATTTCTTTATCGATCAGCAAGTGTTTTTGTAATATGATTCTAAACTTATCTTGTACATGGCTTGGCTAGCTGAATAAAGATCCTTCGCATCTTTGGCTTTTTTTGAAGTCGGACTTTGTCATTTTCGGATTTTTGTTTTTTGATATCCTACTATAGGGTTTTACTCTCGAACAGAAAAATGTGATCGAATTTTTGTTTTAATGTGGATTTTAAATTTCATGTTTAAGATCGGAATAAAAAAATTCATTTCATTCATTGATGAGCGGAAGAAAAACTTCATCTATTGATGCAGTTTTTACCCTTGCGATAGCAAGGGTTTTGCAATCGGGTACTAGATTTTTTCCATTAACAATTTTGTCCACGGGACTCACTTCTGGACTCCTCTTATCTTCGTCCTTCATAAATCTTCTTTTCTTCGTCCTCTTTGCAAATACTTGAGTTCGTAATTTTAAATATTTATTTTTGTTTTTTTTTCCGTCTTTTTTTGGCTTGATAAGTTTCGGCCTACAGATCGGTTTAATGGCCGCATGTTGCGCCTTTCGATAGTTGAAAAAAGTTTGTGTGCGCGTGTCTGTTTTGATTTTTTTGTGTTTTTTCTTTTTTGGACTCATTTCTGGACTCCTCTTATCTTCGTCCTTTTTTTCTTTTTCTTTCGTTCTGTTACGACCTTTGCAGGTCCTAGAATGGGACTCGGGCTCGCTCACTGCTCTCCTCCGTGTATGTTCCTCTTATGACGCGCGAGATTTGTTGCACTCTGGTCCTCCCCGCATATGTCGCATATCGCCCGTTTGCCTTTTGGGGGTTCCTTAGTATGCCCCTCGCATGCTCGCCTATGGTTCGTCCATGGCCCTTTCTCGTTGAACGTGCGCATGCAATGCGGGCATGTGAAGGTCGTGAGACGCTCGTGGTGCATTTTCCTTTCATGTTGTGTCCTTCCACCCTTACTGGCGCACACTCGCTCAAATCCTTCCCATCTACATTTATAGACATTCCCCCTTGAGTCTTCGGTATACTGTGATCTTCTGGGCTTTTCCTGTCTTCCATTTACGTTGCACATTTCATTTTCCCAGTTCTCAATGAATTGCATCCGTTCCTTAGTCAGTATCTTCCACTTTTTCCTGTCGCGGGTGAGGTTCTCGAGGTCTGTCCAATCCTTTCCCATCTCTTTAACTAGCCTCCTCCAGTATGAAATAAGACCATTGCGCAGGGTGCCCTGTTGTGTCGGCTCCATTTTCCAGTGTCCTAGGACGACTCTTTTCACTGTCCTGGTATTGGGCATTCGCAGAATGTGTCTTATTCGTTCCAGGGCTCGTTTTTCTATTTTGCACCGAATTGATGGTATTCCCAACTCTTTCCTTATTTGATACGAGTTTGTGCTGGTTTCCTGCATGCATATCAAGGCAAGACCTCTTCCGCCATTCCAAATATGCCGATACGCCTTGTCCACCACGCTTTGCATCTTATTTATGTCTGTCTTTGACCATGGCCTCACAGCTGAGTCAAATGGCATTGTAGACTCAACTGTGGCTTGCACTACGATAGCTTGGGTACGTTTTGATAAGGTAGATTTCCATAACCACCGTTTGATTTTGTACCACGCGCAGTACCCTCTTTTTATCCGAGCAGCCTTGTCTTCATTTTTACCGATTCGTGTCCCTAGCATCCTTGTTTTATTGGCTGCCTCAGAAGCGAAGGATATGTTTTCCTCCTTGCCATCGTGGCACTTTTCTTCGAACTGGGCGAGGGCTTCCTTGAAAGCTGTCTTGCCTTCCCTCAGCTCACTGTTCCAGCCAATAAGGGTTGAGTCGTCCGCGAACAAGGAGTCCACTAAGATGAACTTCTCTTGTGTACTACTTCTCGTCGTTCTCCGTGTATCTACGGGGGGTAAGCTATTACCCGGCCATTAAACCGGTCATTAAACCAATCTGTAAGCCGAAACTTATCAAGCCAAAAAAAAGACGGAAAAAAAACAAAAATATCTTTATCTTCGTCCTTCATAAATCTTCTTTTCTTCGTCCTCTTTTCAAATACTGGAGTTCGTAATTTTAAATATTTATTTTTGTTTTTTTTCCGTCTTTTTTTGGCTTGATAAGTTTCGGCCTACAGATCGGTTTAATGGCCGCATGTTGCGCCTTTCGATGGTTGAAAAAAGTTTGTGTGCGCGTGTCTGTTTTGATTTTTTTGTGTTTTTTCTTTTTTTTGGCTGATAGGTTTCGGCTTATGTTACATCGGCTGAGTCGCCACATATTGCGTCGTTTCACGAGATGTGTATATGTTTTGAGGGTGAGGGGGACTTGATAACTTTTAGTTGTCTAAAGTTTTTTTTCAGCTGTTTTTTTTCGTGTTTTTTTTTCGGATTAATAGGTTGATTTCGGCATATTGTTTCATATGACGCAAGAATAAAGTTTGTGTGTGTGTGTGTGTGTGTGCGTGTGTGTTTGTGTTTGTTTGAGGTGTGGGCGACTTGATAATTTTTCTGAAAAAATTTTCGGCCTAAAGGGTTTCTAAGGTTTTTCCGGCTTTGTTACCGCGTGATAACTTTTCTTTCGATGCTAGTTTCCCATTTTATTGACTCGACTCGTTGTTTCAAACCTAGACTTATCGATAGATCTAGGTCGAAGTTTTTGAGTTTTTTTCGACTTAGCGGCTTTCGTGTTTTGTATCGCAAGTGGTGCGAAGCGCAGCTTCGCTTGTGTCTCAAATTGATTTAACTTAATCAAAAACGTGTCATCTAGAAATTTTTTCTTGAACATTAAAGAGTTTGAAGGCTGTTTTTCACTTAAAATGAAGGAGAATTCGACTTTGTTAATGAAAAGGTAAATGGCCCGAAAATACGTGATGATTTTAGTTTTCATAGGCAAATGAGCACTATCTCTTGATCGAGTTTTCTCAGATCGCGGTATGGTTTTATCAAACAAATGTATCATAATCAAAAAAAGATTATCATGAACGATTCCTGAAAATGAAAGAGCATGGATCAGTTGTTTTGAAAACTATCTTGAACGATTTTAAAAAATAACAGTAGGTCCCTTGAGTTTTCTTGTTCACCGATTTTTTTTCTCTGTTGGCTATGTTCTTCGTGTTGATTATGTTCCTGCTCGCCGAAGCAACAATGCGATGTGTTTTTCTTAATTGCAATTAAGAGTGAAGTACACAAATTATGTCATGTTCAGGTGTTTGCGTCCAGACCGAGACAGTGCTGCGTCAGGCTATCGCAGAGCGAATAAAGCCTGTTCTATTCATGAACAAGATGGACCGTGCTCTGTTGGAGCTGCAGCTGGCTCAAGAGGACCTCTACCAGAACTTCCAGAAAACTATCGAAAGTGTGAACGTGATCGTGGCCACCTACACAAGTGACGAGGTGAAAGAGATGGGACCGCTGGAAGTGAATCCCATCGAGGGAACCGTAGGTTTCGGCTCAGGATTACACGGATGGGCATTCACCCTGAAGCAGTTTGCCGACATGTTGGCCAAGAAAATGGGCGGTAAAGACCCGAAGAAGTTGATGTCGAAACTATGGGGTAACTGGTGCTTTGTCAAAGAAGAGAAAAAATGGAAGAAGAATGACAGTCCAAGCGAAGAATGCCCACGAGCTTTCTGTCAGTTTATTCTAGACCCCATATACAAGGTTAAAAAAATCACCCACACAATCAATAATTACATAGGCATTTTTGAAGGCGTGGAAGAACTTGGGGTTGCGGCGCTTTTTTGGCCACGCAAAATGAAAGTAATTGTCAGATGGGGCCGTGATATGTCAAATCGGAACCCAGAAATATTTTGAATTTTTTGCATCGTTTAATCTCGAGTTTAATCCTTGGTATTTTTCGGTAGTTAAACTTGACTAGTTAAAACTGTTTTGAAGGAAGGTTTTGTATCCAACCGTGAAGTTAAATTTAACGGCTTACCACGCCTTCCTCGCCAGAAAACGCTTTTTTTGCAAATATGACTGATTGAAGCATTCTGTGTTACTTGAACCCGATATGCTTTTCTTGTTAATGAAGGCTTGTGGGAATGGCACAGGGAATATGTTTCAACCTTGAAATATTGGGCAATTCAAAAGGTGAAACAACTTATTGGTGATATGAATTGGAATTTCAGGTATTTGACGCAGCAATGAACGACAAGAAAGATCTGCTGGAAAAGATGTTGGCCACTATTAATGTGGAATTGGTGAACCAAGAAAAAGAAGAGCTGGGCAAGAAGTTACTGAAGACGATCATGAGGAAATGGCTGCCAGCAGGAGAAACTCTATTGGAGATGATTGTGTTCCACCTGCTCAGGCCCAAAAGTACAGAATGGAGATGTTGTACGAAGGTCCTTTCGATGATCCCTGCGCCACAGCTATCAAGAACTGTGACCCAGACGGTGAACTTATGATGTACATCTCAAAAATGGTCCCCACCACTGATAAGGGACGCTTCTATGCCTTCGGAAGAGTGTTTTCTGGTAAGATCGCCACTGGGCTCAAAGCCAGGATCATGGGACCCAACTACAAACCAGGAACAAAGACAGATCTCTTCCTGAAGTCTATCCAGAGGTAAAAAAAACATTAGTGAGAAATCTATGCGTAGCATCTAGTGAGAAAGTTACTGAATGAGAAATATCAGCTGTAATTTTGCATCTTATACCAAGTGTCTTGGAAGCTCAATATAGTGTATTGTTTTATTTTGCAAGATGAAGGTAGCATAGTATTTGTTTAACAGAACTATTCTGATGATGGGACGATATGTTGAGCCAATTGATGATGTACCGTGTGGAAATATTTGTGGACTTGTGGGAGTGGATCAGTACCTGGTCAAGTCGGGAACCATTTCAACTTACGAAAAGGCATTCAACCTGAAGGTGATGAAATTTAGCGTCAGTCCAGTCGTCCGAGTCGCAGTTGAGTGCAAAAACCCTCAGGACCTACCGAAACTTGTCGAGGGTCTAAAGCGCTTGGCTAAGTCTGATCCTATGGTGCTGTGTGAGATCCCAGAGAGTGGTGATCACGTTGTTGCTGGAGCTGGAGAGCTTCACTTGGAGATCTGTCTGAAGGATTTGGAGGAAGATCATGCTGGAGTTCCTCTGATCAAGAGCGACCCAGTGGTGTCCTTCCGAGAGACTGTGACGGCTTGTTGTGAGAAACCAGCGTTGAGCAAGTCACCCAACAAGTTCAACAGATTGTTCGTGACCTGTGATCCGTTCATTGAGGGCCTAGCTGAGAAGATCGACTCAGGAGAGGTTTCGGCAAACGATGAAATTAAAGAGAGGGCTAAGTTCATCTACGAATCGTTGGTTAAAGACACGGACAAGATGCAAGAGTACCTCGATGCACAGTGGGAACCAGATCTTCTGAGAAAGATCTGGGCTTTTGGTCCTGACACCAACGGACCCAATTTCTTGTGCGATGCCACCAGAGCTGTCCAATACCTGCATGAAATCAAAGACAGTTTTGTCTCTGGCTTCCAATGGGCATCTAAAGAGGTAAGGCTTTTAATGGAATGTCTCTGTGATGCCATATGGATCAAAACTTTTCAACATTAAATGCTACCCAAAAATGCAATTTCAAGCCCTGCGGTAAGCAAATGTATTGCAGCAGGGTACTAGACTTTTTCCCGTAATTTACTTTGTTCACATGAATTCTGAAATTGATGGTCATCTGCAAATGTGTAATTTAATCAGCCAACAGATACTGGTAGCATGCTTGCATTGTAAATTTCTGATTTTTGTTTTGCTGTGTTTTATCTCCTATGACCGATTTCAGCATAGTTTTACTTTTTATTCCGATCATAAAAATCGGAGGAACTTTGTATTCGGGTGTGTTTTATTTTTCTTGTTATCCACGCAAAATTAGGTACCACAAATAGTCATAAGAATGGGCCGAGTGAGGTATCATTTTAAACCCTTTCAGTTGCTATTCGAGCGACAAAAAAACTGTTAAAAAATTTGACCTTAATTTGAGCTAATAAGGTGAGCGTGCATGCTTACAATAGCTTGTTACATCAGCGAAATTGCGAGCGTTAGTTTATTAATGTGAACTTTCTTTTTTTTTAAAATTAAATTTCCACTTAATTTCTTGAAATGATTTCGCGCTTTGATGTTAAAGTTAGAGCTGTGAGATTGAAAATCTGGCAGTCAGAATCCTTAGCATTTCTAGACAAGGCTCGTTCCTAGTGTTAAAAGAAAATAGAGGAAAAAAAATTTTGTTTTTGGTTTGCTTTTCGGTTCTTCTTGGTATGTATTTTCGTGTGTGTTTTCTGTTAGAACCTATTTCTCCAATATACTATATATCATGGCAGTATCAGCGGCTGTAAATTGTTCATTGTTACAATTTTGGTATAATTCAATTTCATCATTTTAAAGCGTATTTAAGCATAGGTAATTTACTAGCATATAGTGCTGGTTTAGTTTTAGCTAGTGTAAGGTTCTGTTTGAAAACACTGTGTTATGAAAATATTTGGGATTTGTTAAATTTGGTTTTTTGCGACCATTTGGAAAACTTTTAGCAAATTTTTTCTCAAACTACTGAACAAACTTTCACAACGATGGTGTCATTGGAAAACTGGCTGCTTTTTTATGTGCCTGCTTATTTTGCTAGCTGTTTTCAGTTTACACGTTCTACGGCTTTCGAAAGTTTCAGTAGGGGGATTTTTGATTTTAAATTTGTTCATTTTCTCAACTAATAAAAGCAAATATCTGAGATGAATGTTTAAACTTAAGAACTTATCATTGGGATCTCTCCTTCTCAAGCAGCTATTCCCTAAATTCGGAAGAAAAAAGTTATGGCCTCAAACAAGCCCATTTTTTGACATTTTGATTAGTTTTTAAATTTTTTTGACTTTTCTCAAAAACTATCTTGCCAAATCGGAGAAAAAGAGTTCAATCGGAAGAAAAAAATGGTGTGCGAATTTTCCTTGCGCAAGCGGCTATGCCCTGCGTTTGGAATAAAATGGCCTTAAAAAGGTACAATTTTTGAAACTTTGACCCTTTGTTGGAAAGTTCTTTTTTTCTACAAAAACTAATCTGCTGATTCTGAGGTTGATACTTCATTGGAAAAAAATTGTGCTTAAATTTTTCGTGTAATCTGTTTCGCCTTATTTGTTTTGAAGAAAAGCCGATCGGAAAAATCGAATTTATGAAGTTTTTACCGTTTTAAAGAAATTTCATCACTGCTTTCGAAAGCTACTAGCTAAAGCCGATATTAAGGAATCAATCTAAAAAGCAGGGTGTGGAAATTTTTCCTGCAAACCAGACTATTCCCATGCTTTACTTGAGAATTTTTTTGTGAATTTAGGAAAAACCAATTTTTTTTTGCAATTTTCGACTGTTTTTTGGAATCTTTTTCAATTTTTTTTTCGAAGACTACCCAGCCAAATCCGTGATAAAGAATTCAGTTGAAAGATCGATTAGATTTTTTTTCTTTAAATATACAGCTAATCTGCTACTTAAATAGAAAAATCACTAGGGTTTTGCGTCAAGTTCATTTTTGAAACTTCATTTCGTTATCAGTACAGAATATGATCAAAATAATAAAACATGTGAATCTAGCATAAGCTGGGCTACTAGTGTTTCTTCCAAGCGTCGGTGGCGCGATTGCGCAGAAGTGGAAATCCTAATCAACCGGTAGGAGATCCAAATCCGGAACATTGAAATAGTTAGTTTTTTTGGTCGATCTTTTCCTGCATCGCAATGGTAATTTGATAGAAACTGCAGCTGCTTTATTGGTGCCTAGTGTTAGTAAAATTACAAGCGGTCATGGAGCAGATGTGAGAACGTGTTACTCCCAAGTCTTGCAAAAGGTTTCTTTTTAACCTTTTCTTTGTTTTGCCTGTTTAGAGATCTTTTTTGCATTTTCCTCGCTTGTGTTTGCGAAGCGCAGCTTAGCCTCTTTGTAGAATTGTTTATATTCGATAAATAGATTTTCACTGAAGAATTTTTTTTCAAATTTTTATGTTTGATATTTAAGTTCAATTTAGTTTTGTTTACGGGTAGCCTATCAGTGGGCCTTTTAAATGCCTTTTGGCTATCCTCTCCAGCGCTAAATTATTTGCTTGTCATTTCGATTTTGGTGAGTTTGTTACAATACTCGGGGGAAATAACTTTTTTCTTTCTAACCTAACTGGCAAATAAAAGTGTTCATTTGGTGGCAAACCTATTATATATTTAAATGCGGGCTCCACTATCTCGCCATGTTTAAGCTTTTTCAACGTATTAGTTTTACAGTTTTGCATGTTTTTTGTCCAGTTTGATTTGTGGTTATTTCACCGAGTTTAAAATGAGCAGCCCAAAATTCGGATGTTGTTGGATTCCCCAAGGGGTTGCAAATTTGGCCTCCATTTTTGAGTGCCCAAATACTTAAAGTTAAAGAGATAAGAAAACTCAAATTACAAAATAATATATAAAACTTGAAGTTCCCAACCCTTTAGTTGGGTACTGTCATAGTACTATCAAGGATTGCGAATCTTGCCTCCAAATATGAGTGATCAAACCCTTGCAGTGTTCGAGATGTGACGTTTTTTTGTGATTTTTTCGAAAATTTTAAGAAAAATTAAATTATTTATTTTCAAACTTTGAAATTCCCAACACTGTAGATGCGCGCTGTCAGGGTAATCTAAGGAGCTGCAAGTTTTACATCTAAATATGGTTGTTCGAAGCCTTGTAGTTTTCGAGATATGACGTTTTTTTGTGATTTTTTCAAAAATTTTCAGAAAACTCAAATTATTTTTTTTTTTGATTTGAAATTCTCAACTTTGTAGTTGAGTGCTGTCAGGGTACTCTCAGCATTTAAAATTCTTGCCACATTCGACTGCTCAAATGATTTTAGTATCCGAGATGTGATGTTTTTTCGATTTTTTCAAAGTTTCTCAAAAAACTTATCTACAAAGAAATTCACAAAATTTCAAACTACCAACTTGATGAAGACGCAAACTTATTGTCAGCGTAGTAGGGTGCGCTCAGGGACGCTCAGTGGCTGCAAATCTGGCCTCCAATTTCTCTAGAGGCCCATTAATTTCTCGAGATGACGCTTTTATGGTTTTTTCAAAATGGGAATTTAAATGTAATTGGGTGCAGTCAGAGTTCAGGATACACTAAAAGTTAGCAGTTGTTGTTTCCAATATATGCGGTTTTTCATGAGTTGTCGAAAAATTTCGAAGCACTGGAGGTGCGTTAAACGCTAGTTCATTAGTTGGTGGTACTTTTGCTATAATAACAATCTGCAGCATTCGAAATTCCATAGCATCTGTTCTCTGCTTTATTTAGGGCTAGTGTTTGTGATGCATTAAGCGTCCGTTTCTGAGTGATAAGTGCTTGAGACTCATATTCTTTAAGTCACAGATAGAATTCGCAACCTAGTCGAATTTTACTACTTCGAGGCTTATTTTCTTGTTTTTCTTATTGCCTTTTATAGAGCTGATTTTTGTCGTGCTCTCCCTAGTGTTTGCGGAGCGCAGCTTCGCCTCTGTGTATATACTTATTTTAAGCCATGAAAACTGACTTTTATTTGAGTAAAATTAGTGGAGTTTTTTAGCGCCCACTTGGAATCAAAAACTTCAAATTAAAAGTTTTGAAAAAAATTGAATTTTTCAATCGAATTTTTTAGTTTTTCTTATCACTGTCGTTTTAAGTGGGCGGTCTAATTCGAGAATTATAGGATCATAAAGAAAAATGGTAAATCAGACATCGACAACAGTTATCTCCAAAAATGATTAAAAACAAAAAATTGCCTAACAGGCTATATCCCAGTTTTTGCTTCGTTTTTTTTTGTGAGAGTGAATGAAGGTAGGGCATTTTTTATATACACTGAAATGCGCAACATTGAAAAGGCAATGTAAGAAAACTCTTTTAGCAAATACATGTTCAAGTGAACCATTTCTTTCACCAATTGGTACTGTGCGTCCTCCTGTTGCCTGAATACATTATTTTATGCGTCTTTGCATTGAAAAAACTGAGTTTGCAGTATGCCTTTAAGTGCATTCAACCAAACATTAGCAATAGAATAAGGCAGTTCTCTTAGATTTTGTTTGCCTGTGTTTTTCGGTTCATATAATTCCCAAGATGCTCGATTGGGTCCCCCCCCTCTGCAGGGTGTCGGACGCCCCCCCCCCCCCCCCCCCTTAGGGATTCGACACCCTGCCGACCCAAAGGGTCCCCCCTTTGGTACTTTTTAAGAAATCCACTTTTGGCCGACCGACCCTAAAATTTTTCTAAAGGCGCCAATGTTTACTAATTTTGAGGGGGGAGCGCGCGCCGAAAAAACGCAATTTTTTGGTCAAAATTTTGCAATAAGTGCCTAAAACGCCTTTTTTGACAATTTGCCTGCGGCGCAGAAAATTTTGCCAAAATAGGAGCAAAACAGTGCTTTGGGAGAGCTCAAAAAAATTAATTTGGTCGACCTAAAAAAAAGGTCGTCAAAATTCGCCCCCCCCCCCTCGAGAAAATCCTAGATCCGCCCCTGTGTTTCAGTTTTCTTTAAAAAGTAGTCAGGTTTTTCATGCTGTTGGAATGAAAAGAAAAGATATAAAGCTGGAATTTTGAATTTTTTTGATGATGTTTTTTCAATGTCGCCCAGAATAGTTCAAGATGATTTTTTGTTTTTTTTTTCTGGAAAAAACTTTGTTCATACTCAAATTTACTTTTTCGTGGTTTGACTTATGATTTATTTTTAGTTCAATTCATGTCTTTTGTTTCAAGGAAAGAAAACTCCATTACCCAACAGCATAAGTGTAAAGGTCACACAAAACCCGATCGACTTCTTATTTCGGAATTAGACTTTAATTATCATATTTTCCAGCAAAAAAAATTCCCTATTAATCCAGTTTTCTCAAATTGGGTTAGTTTTATCCAAAAAAAAAAGTGTTTTTAAACTTGCTCTAAAAATTCAACGAGCTTTAAGTGCGTCTACTTTTTTGAGTTTCAAAAAAGTATTTTCCCTTTTAATGCGTTCATTGAGTCTTTTTCCTGTTGGTTTTTCAGCTTGAAATGATTCGGAATTTTTTTCCGCTTAATGGCATCATATTGCGTGGTTTGATTAGCTAAAATGTTTGATCTATATGGGTTGAGCCTTTCAATTTCAAGTTTTCTTTCGATGCTAAATTTACATTTAATTGTCTGATTTGTCATGTTTTTAAATTTAATTCGATTTTGCTTTGGTATTTGATATAGGTTTCAATGTTTGATTTCGAAGTGTCAGCGATTGTACTGAAGACTTTTCTTACAATTCGTTAAGATTCATAAGTTTTCCGCAGTTTAATTTTTTTTCAAGTTCAAGTAAAATTCGGTCTCTAAAAGGAAGACAAACTGCTCTCTCCAATTAAGGGAAATGGTGCGAAAGGATGAAAAGTGCATTTTAATTATTTATTAATTGAAAGTTCTCGAATGCGATAGTTGTATCTAATTAGTATTGTTTATTTAAGATTCTGGAAATTGAAAGAGGCTTAAAGCGATGAATTTTCGCCCAGAAATTCGAATTAAAAAATTCGAAAAGTAAATAACTTTTTTGCTCGTTCATTGACACATAACTATCTGTCGGCTTTGTGTTTATTTAGTTAGTTTCATCGTGAATTTTGTAGGGTGTTATTGCGAACGAAAACTGCAGAGGTATCAGGTGGAGAATTAACGACGTAACATTGCACACGGATGCCATCCACAGAGGAGGTGGTCAGATCATTCCCACAGCCAGGAGGGTGCTCTATGCATCGCAGATGATGGCAGAGCCCAGATTTCTGGAGCCAGTGTACCTGGTTGAGATCCAGTGCCCAGGAGAGGTTTTGTCTGGAGTGAGCAGTGCCATGAATGCCAGGAGGGGAAATATCTTCGAGCAGAATCCCATCACAGGCACACCACAGTACCAAGTCAAGGCCCATCTGCCTGTGTTGGGATCATTCGGTAATTTGAAAGCAGGCTTTAACAGTCGATTAAGAGGCTCTTCTTCCGTTTCCCCAACCTCACATAAGCATCGATTTCATGGTTTAACGAGTGGTTTTACACTGAGCATGAATACCAAATATGTTTGTCATGGCCTAATTAGTCCGCATGCCAATTTTTATTTAAAAATCCAAATGTGAAAAGAAAAATTGCTCTAAAAATTCGCAGGTGGGGGGAGAGAGAAAGAGCCGTCGATGAACGTACTTCATACTCTTATTTAGGTCTGAAGGATGATTTTTTCAGGAAAATCTTAATTTGTCCATGCTTTATTTCGCGGATTGACAGCAAAAACGAAAAACGTGATCGACTTCTTGCTTCGAAAGGGAATTTAATTTTCAGATTTCCCAGCGATTAGTTTTTTTCCTTTTGATCCAGTTTTCTCAAATTAGGTCAATTTTATCGAAAAAGTACCAATGGTAACTTGTTAAATGGTAACTCGTTTTTCTGTTTGCTTGCGTTCATTAATTTTTTCCAACTGTTTGTTGGTTATGATATTGTTTTCTGATCTTAAGGTGCGTGGTATTATTCTTTAGTATTTTTGTACTATTGCCCACAAAGTACAACTCTAATCCTATCAAAAATATTGTATTTAAAAATGTTGCAGACTAAAGAGCGTTTGCATGACTTTTTTTCATTGATAAAACACAATGTCTCTCATGTAGGATTCACTGGAGATTTACGGAAAGCCACGGGCGGACAAGCGTTCCCTCAGTGTGTATTTGACCACTGGCAGGTGGTGAACTACGATCCTCTTGCGGTGCATCCCCAAGACATTAAGGACCCGGCCAAGGTCAAACAGTTCTACGATAACAACCAGGCCTACAAAATCATGATGAAGATCAGGAAGCGACGGGGCTTGAAAGAGGAACAGCCGAAGTTGGATGACTACTTCGACAGGATGTGATGTGGTGTGGGTGGCTAACAGAGAACAAGAGCGGGCCAACATCAGTATGAACTGTATAATGAAATTGTGACGTCAGTTGACAGTTGTTCGTATTAGGTAACCTGATGAATGGACCTCGTCTGAATCTGAACTGGTGATTGTTGAAGGTGCTACTCATATTTGGGTTTGAAGGCTTGAATATGCGATACTTTCATTTTAATTTACAACATCACAACGAAGCTTAATTTAAGTATTCAGACGCAATTGTTTTGAGCTAAACATTGTTCGACAAAAAAACAAAGTAAACTAATTAGTAGTTGCACAAGCGACTCTATAATCACGATTTTTTCACGATATAAAAAGTATTCTGTAGAACAAAAGCAGTCATGATGCAAAATTCTGATAACTAATTCATTTTTTAAGCTTGATTTTGAACAATAAATTGCAATATGCAGGGTTAACATGATTTAGAAAACAAATATTTCTACGTATTTTTAAATTGAAAAATCTAAAATGGAATAAAATAATGTTCTCGAAAGTTTTGTCATTGACTGATGCAGTTCAAACTAATCTAGGTCCTGATGATTTTTTCGTGTTTTTTTAGGAAAAATCTGGAAATTTAGGCTCATGTATTTTTTCGCGGTTATTATCTTTGTTGAATTTTATCTAACTGGCAAATAAAATTATTCATTAATTTGGTGGCTCTTTAGCTATAATCATGATCTTAAGCATCAGAATTTTTATAACGTCTGTTTAATGCTCCATTAGTGGATAGTGTTTGTTATTTAGTAAGCGTCTGTCTGTGACTGATGGGTTAATGCGTGAGACTTACTATCTCTAGGTCGCAGAGCGAATCCAAGATCTAGCCGAATTATTACTACTTCGAGGCTTATTTCTACTTAATCTTTTGCACTTTGTAGAACTGCTTTTTGTCGTTATCTCACTAGTGCTTGAGAAGCACAGCTTCGCCTCCTTGTAAAATTTTTGTTCCATTGAAAATACTGTCAAGTTCAGTAATAATGCTGTAGCCTATCCTCAGTAGGTCAAATAAGACCGACCTTTTTCGGTGTTGTTATTATTATTATTCGACCATTGAAAATTGGGAGGAATTTGGTATTCGAGGTGTTTTGGTTTTTTCTTTTTTTTCTTTTTCGTTCCAAATCAGGTCCCATAAATAATCATTTGACTGGGTTGAGTGATATATCATATTTAGCCCTTTCAGTCGAAATTCGAACCACATTGAAAAATTCCCAACATTTTGATTTGTTTTCTAGTCGTTTTTCTTCGAAAACTGTCGTCCGGTTTGCCTAAATTAATATGACTGTCAAATTGGCCTAAATAAAATTTTTATGCCATTTTATCACAACACGCAGAAAAAACTACACTAAATTTAAAAAAAACTGGTAGATTTTTAAAGACTAGGTTGAAAAATTTTGTGCTAGTTGCACCGTAACCGGCTATCCTTACCTAATTTTCGAAAGTGTTTTCAGTATGATTTATGTAATTTCGTTTTTTTTTTAATTTTAATTTAATTATTTTAAAAATTTAATTGCAATCGGATACTTTTTTCCCATAAGTGTTTTTGTTCGCAGAATGGTCAAAATTAGAAATTTTAAATTAAGGTTCAGTTCACAATAAATTCCAATATTTTTTGCCTCCGGCACTCTTGATCTGTGAATGAGAATGCACTTTGGACGGCAAAGACTTTTGATTTCAGTCTGACGGGACCGTTTTTCAAACGGTAAATAAATTGTTCAGAAAAAAACTCGGTTTTTTATGCTCATGTTTCTTCGGCATAGTTGCCATATTGTAGAACTGTTTTTTTGCAAGTTACTTTATTTTAAAAAAATGCTTTTAGTGTTCTGATATATTGCTGTTTTTAGTTTTCTTAACCTTGACTTTGTATTCTTTTTCTATGAAATATTATTTTTGGTATAAATTTTATTTGCCCAAATGATATCGGCTGTTTTCTTATCTGCTCAGTGAACCAATTTTGAGTAATTTCAATTGAAACATATTATAATGCTCACCTATAATTCGCACAAAAATTCAAAAATTGTAAAAGAAAATTAGGGTAAAGTTTTCACGAACATTTTTTTCCACTGTTTTTTTTTCTGTTTTTTGGCTCGATGGGTCTTAACCTTTATTATATCGGCTTATTGGCCCCTCATTGAGTCTTTCGAAGAGCGGATAAAACTTGTGTGTGAGTGTATTCGTTTTGAGGGATTTGATAAATTTTTTATAGTCTTAAATTTTTTTGAATAATTTTCAGCTTTTTTCTCAAGTGTTTTGGCTTGATCGATTTAGTCCTATATTATATCGGCTTTGCGGCCTCGCATTATTTCATTTGACCAGCAAATAGTTTTTTTGAGTGCCTTACATGAGAAATTAATAAGGTTTATCCTTTTTTAAATGCACAATCTTCCATCTTTCAAGTTTAAATGAAACTATCACCTAAGTAGAAATTAGTTCGAGCCCGTCTCAGTTCTAATTATATTTGCAAGAACATTTAATTTTTTCGGGGTTCGTGGTTTTTGTCCTTGTTCCTTTTGGTTCATTTTCCGTTTTTTAAACGCCTTTTTTATCTGTTAGGGTTTTTATTGGTTTTCTTTTTAAAGCATGGCTTCTGTTCCAATGTAAACAATCTTTACTATAACTGAGTTTCACAAACTTTTAAATTTACCATGTCTTTTTTTGAGTTTTTTTTCCATTTTTTGGAAACATTCAATCAGATTCAGATTATGCTATATCGACTTGGTTGGCGTCATTTCGAGGGCAAAATATATCTGTTTGGGATTATGTGTTTCAATTGCATGGGTCGTCGATATTTTTTATGACAACAGTTTTTTTTTTGGCTGAGCAGTTTTCGCCTCAAAGTTTCTCGTTTTTGTTGCCGCTCGGTAAATGCTTTCTATTTTTTAAGGGTTGTTAACGAACTTGATCTGATACAAATTTAAATTTTTTGTTGCGGTAATTTAACAACTTTTACCTAGTTAATTTGTACCAGCAATTTATCAGAACATTTTTGTTTCTTGTCTTTTTTTCATTCAGTATTTTGTACCTCAAAATGTGGTTTGCATCGCAATTGTTGCAAAGCTTTGCTTCGCCTCTGTGAGTAAAGGTCGGATTCGTTCATCTATACATGATGTACCGTGCTTTTTTCGTTTCAGCAAGTTTGAAGTTGGTTACTTTTTGGTGGGGTTTTCGTGATTTTCCCAAGGGATGCGAATTTGGCCTACGAGTATGAAAATCTAGTTTTGTAGGTATCGGAATATGCCGATTTTTATGTTTTTCGTTTGAAGTTTTTTTAAATATTATATTTACAACACATGACAAAATTGAAAATGCCAACTCTACTCGGGTTCTGTCAGGGCACTCCCAGGGTTTGCAAATCTTCTTGCCTCCAAAATTGACTCTCTGATGATGTGGTGGGAGGTCAGGGTAATCCCAGTCATTGCAAGTTTTACGTACAATGATTGCTGAAATGTTTTACTTGTCGAGATTTTGAATATTTTGAACCAATGGCGGTTGATGTGAGGTTATTCACAAAAGTTGCAGATGTGCTGTCTAAATTCGACTGCTCAGAACTTTTCAGTAGTCTCAGATCCAATCAGCCATCCATACATCAAACAAGCCATCCCTCCTTTAGCGATGCTCCCATTTAGCAATCCCTCCATCAAGCCGTAAACGAATTGATCAAGCCTTTTTTTCATCAAGCGATCCATCCATCCAATCAACCATCAGGCCAGTCTTCATTAATCGGCTTATCAATCTAGCCATCCATCTAACCAGCCATCCATCCGTCCTGTTAACCAGTCTTCCATCTATCAATATAAAACTCCATCAATCCTGCCATATTTTCACCCATCCAACTATCCACCTATCTCAGCCAGCAATTAACCATCCTGCAGTCAACCCACTGATTCAGCCAGTCCTATACCCAGCCGTTCATCATCAATCTCGCAATCCATCTACTTAGATTTTTCTGTGTTGTTTTTGATTCTTTTTTGATGTTCGGTTTCTTTTTGAGGAAGTTCTTTTAGGCTCTCTATTTTCATTCCAAGCGTTGCCGTTTTTTTAAAGGCACTGGCTCATAACAAATTGTTTAGAAATTCTGCTGCTGCAAAAATGTCCAAATTTTTAGCATCTATTTTAGATTATACTTAATGCGTGCTTCACTCTAAAAGAAATAAAAGCACAATTTAAACGTGAGAATAGTACGAACTAACATACGCTGAATGTCAGGAACCCGTTAATTTTTTTTTGCTTTTGTGTTCAGGTATGAAACTTTTATGGCTGTAATTGCAGAGGAATGCAGATTTAAATAATTGAGAACACTTGATAGTAGCGATCCATCGACTCTGTCGAAAGTATTCAAAAAGGCAAATTTTACCACACAATATTTTTTTTGCTAATTTTTCTGGAGTAATTGACTTTTCAACTTTTCGTAAAAATTGTATGCATCTGGCGGCCAGTTATATCAGTATATTTGTGTTGTTTGATGATTTTGATCTTTTTTTACGCGTTTGCTTACCACATGTGAAAAATCGTAGCATCACCGTTCAATAGACCTATGGGTGTAAGATCTTGCATCATATTTGCATTTCCTGTTTTTGGCAACAGTTATTTTTGCAAGTTTTTTTAACAGTTAATTGGCAAGTGGAAGAGTAAATTATGAAAACTTTGCGAACATACTACAATGGTCATCATTAAACTTCATACATAAGCCGAAATGAGTCCATCTGCTCCGGGATTACTATTTATATTCATTTTTTCAATCGCATTTGATTTTTCTAGCTCGTTAAATGGCTAATATGTATTTTTTCCCTACCTCGTCTATAAGATGAAACTAAAGAGGTAAATGTACCATCGAAGAAAAACTCTGGTTTATTTGAACACAAGTCAGTGTAAACGATCTTGAATTCACAACAAAGACCTTGATAGTCTGTGGTGAAATTTAAAACGCCTTTTTTCTTGTTATTAAATTAGACAAGTTTTTTGAGGTTCTTTCGTTCAAAATTTTTGGAACTCACTCAAAACTGCAGTGAAAACTTTACTTTGTTTTTTGAAAACTCGAATAATTATTAGTTTCTCAGTGTTCTGCAATTTCGCGAAAAAAAACGAATTTTCAGTTTCGCCAGCGTTGGAAATGTTTGTAGAACTAATTGAATTACGTAACGACTTTTCGTGATAATTCAACATCGAAACTTTATAACAAAAAAACTTCCTTGTTGTTGACTTGAATGTATTTCAGCAGATTTTTA